ATATATACATACAAGGTCTTTGGTTGATTACCTTCCACCCACCCACTCCCCTCCCCGCCTTCCCTCAGATTCTGCACTCTGTTCCATGCTTCCATGTCTCTGGATCCACTCTGTTCCACAGTTTATTTCGTTAATTGTCTGTTCTTGATATTTCATATAAATGGAATCATGTAATATGTGGCCTTTTGTGTCTGGCTTTTTTCACGAGCATAATGTCTTCTGGTTTCTTCAGTGTTGTACATGAATCAGGACTTCATTCCTTTCTGTGGCTGAATAATAGTTTATTGTATGGATATGCCACAGTTTGTTCATCCACTCATCAGTTGATGGATATTTGGGGTGTTTCTATTTTTTGGCTATTATGAATAATGCTGGCACAAACACTTGTTTTCAGTTCTCTGGTATATACTCATAAGTGAAATTGCTGGGCCTATCGGTAACTCTATATTTATCCTTTTGAGGAAGCGCCAGACTATTTTACAAAGTAGCTGCAGCGATTTACATTCCCAGCAGCAGCGTGTGACGGTTTCAGTTTCCCCACATCCTTGCCAACGCCTGTGATGGTCAGACTTTTTTATTATGACCATCCCAGTAGAGGTGAAGGTTGATTTGAATTCCCTGACGGTTAATGACGTTGAGCATCTCTTCAGGTGCTATTGGCCATCTGTTTATCTTTGGAGACATGTCTGTTGAGATCCTTTGCCCTTTGTTTTTTCCCCTGAGCAACCTGGTTTTTCCAAGGAATAGGGGACAAGGAGGCCCTGCATCTAAAAGAAGGTGTAGGGCCCTGGCCAGGTGGCTCAGTTGCTTGGAGCATTGTCCTGTACACCAAAAGGCCGTGAGTTCAATTCCAGGTCAGGGCACATATCTAGGTTTCGGTTTCAATCCCTGGTTGGGGCATGTAGGGGAGGCAATCAGTCAATGTTTCTCTCTCACAGAGATGTTTCTCTTTCTCTCTTCCCCTTCCTCTCTCTCCCCCTTCTCTCTCTCAAATCAATAAAATCAATTAGGTGAGGATTTTTTTAAAAGAAAAATTATATGAAGGTGTTGGGCCTCTCGGTTGTGAAGCGTGACTGTGCTGGCAAGGAAGGACCGGATGGGGCAGTGGGAACTTGATCTTGGAGTCCTTGACTGCTGGTTGGCAGCACTTGCTGGCCATGATCTCCTCCATCTTCACGATCTGGATTGAGTGGGTTTGGGCACAGTGCTGGGTTCCCATGTCTCAGTAGCACTGGGTGACAGCACCCAGAGTGGTCAGGTCTTGGTACTCTGGGTACATGTTGTGGGTGCCACTGTGGGAGTTTTAGCTCAGCCAGATGCCAAAGTTTTTTCCCCCAAGAGAGGATTTTTCAAACACCTGCCCTGCCCACGGTGGACAATTTCCCCTGTAGATTTCTTCATCTTCTTCAGTTGAAATAAAGTACCAGATGCAGGACTTGGCACCAACACGGTTAGATGGAAAGATGCACATGTGGTTGAGGAGCAGCGTGTGGCACTTAGTGGTGGTCAGGCAGCACCCCACCACCTTGTGCTCTCGAAATGTGCCCAAGACCTTCACAGCGTTCTTTTCGAGTTCATCACCGCCCACAAGAGCTCTTTGCTCATTTTTAAATTGGGTTTTACTGAGGTGTAAGTTTTTTGTATATTCTAGATGCCAGTCCCAGACACATGATTTGCAAGTAATAGCCCCCATTTGGGGAGGGTTGTCTTTTCACTTTCTTGATGGTATCATTTGAAACACAAAAATTTTTAATTTTGATGAAGTCCAGTATCTTTTTTTCTTTTTGTCACTAAGAATTTTATAGTTTCAATTTTAATAATTAGTCCAGTTTGAGGTAATTTTTGTATGTGGTGTGGATAGAGATCCAACTTCATTCTTTGGTATGTGGCAATCCAGTTGTTCCTACACTATCTTTTTTGTTTTGTTTTTAATAATCTTTTTATTTTGGAAAAAATTTAGATTTATAGAAATGCTGCAAAGATAATACAGAGAATTCCCATATATATATACCAGTATATATATATATGAAGTATATTTTTATTGATCTCAGAGAGTAAGGGGAGAGAGAGAGAGAGATAGAAACATCAGTTATGAGAGAGAATCATTGATTGGCTGCCTCCTGCATGCCCCACACTGGGGATTGAGCCTGCAACCCCGGCATGTGCCCTGACTGGGAATTGAACTGTGATCTCCTAATTCGTAGGTTGATGCTCAACCACTGAGCCATGCCGGCCGGGATATATATATATTTTAACTGATTTTTTAGTTTGCATATTTAGACTTTTTTTTTTAATCCTTACCAAGGATATTTTTCCATTGATTTTTAAAGAGAGTGGAAGAGGGAGGGAAAGACAGAAATACCAATTTGAGAGAAACACATTGATTGGTTGCCTCCTGCATGCACCCTGACCAGGGCCCAGATTGGGGAGCCTGCAATCAAGGTATGTACCCTTGACCAGAATCAAACCCAGGACCTTTCGGTCCACAGGCTGATGTTCTATCCACTGAGCCAAACCGGCTAAGGCTGGGCTATATCTCTTTTTCACACCTCTATGGTTTTTCCCCAGTAGGCCTGTGTTGTAACCTACATACCCATTCTCAAACTTCAGAAATATTTATTACAGGTTCCAGGCCTTTCCTATTCCAGATTTTCTTCAGTGAACAAAGTTAACTGTAATCATTTGTTTATTCAAAAGTCTTTTTGATATGAAAGTTACCACTGACTTGCAGTAATGGAGAATAGGTGAAAATAAAATGTTGCAAATTTGTATGAAGTGGACAATTCTTTAAAGTTACATTTTTCTTTTAAGTGCATAGTTTGGTAGTGTTCACAGTATTGTGTAACAGAAGAGTTACTTACAAGATCAGAAAATGATGAAAAATAATCTTAAAAGCAACATAAAATGTTTTCTAAAAATGTTTTCAGAGTGACAGCTTCCCATTCTCACAGACATTTCTGCCCTCTGAATTTTCCAGGCTATTTGGCTCCTGAGCTCCAGATACTGAACCAGTAACACACCTTCCCGGATGCCAAGCCTCCCTCTGTTCCTGACAACTTCAAGAATGTTTTTGACTGGAAAACTGGTGACCTTCCCAGAAAGCCCAAGCTCGTGGTGGGTGAAAAAAATGTTCACCAAGATACACTTGGTTTCCTGGCCACGTCACTGTTGTTTTTTTAAAGATATTTTCAATTGGTCTGTGCATTGAAATGTTGTCTACTTAAGGAGTTTCAGGAGGGTTTATGTAAGGGACTGATAACATTGCCTTCTTTATAGAAAAAAGAACATGTCTAGATAGTTTTATTGAATTGGAATCCCTCTTCCACTAAGCTTTCATTAGAAACGTTTCTATTGGCTATGTCTTGGTTTATTTTTAATAACTATCCCTTTTGGTTCGAATTACACATTTTTAGAAATCATTTATTTCCAAGGATCTGAACCAGAAAGGTTGGCTTTTAAGTTTGATGCAGCCTTTATTAGATTCGGTGAATAACAGAGTTCATTGTTGCTGGGTCTGTGTTCAGTTCCTTCTCTGTCCCAGTAGGCGCGCTTGGATTACAGTGTAGCTGTCGTCCCTAGGACTTTAAGGGTGAAGTCTTATTGGTTCCCACGGAAGAGATGTGCAGAAGAGTTGGCAGGGGCAGGCAGATGTCTTATGAGAAATTATGCCTTGCCTTGAAAGCCCTCTGTTAAATGGGCCATTAATTGTACAATTTTTAGAGTGAGAGTGATTTATGTGGTAATATTGGGACCTAGTTCTGAAAGCTTGGGGTTTTAGGGTCTGTTTTTCAAATGGGTGATTTCAAGGTTGGAAAAAGAATGAGCTTCATTTGAGCATTTTGTACAGAAGCTGCTTTAAAAGAAAGTCCTGGTTTAATTGCCAAAATGAAACGCTGGTGGTCAGTACCTGGATCTCATAGGTGTTTGATTTGTTTGTTGTGGGTTTTGGAATCCTGACTTGTAGGTAAGCCTGGTGGGAGGAAAAAGCAAACACGCAGGCTTTTAGAACTAAATAGCATTGAAAATAAAGCTCATTTCCTAAAAGGACTTTTTGTTACACATTTCTTAAACAAGAAGTTGCTTTTCCAACTTGAATCATTTAGAATTAGGCTGTGGAAAACACTTAGGGTTTATTTTGGAGCCTGTCAAAACGAAATGATGTTACCTTTTTTAAAAAAAATGTATTTATTGATTTCAGAGAGGAAGGGAGAGAGATAGAGGGGATCAAGTCCGCAACCCGGGCATGTGTCCTTGGCTGGAATCGAACCTGAGACCCTTTAGTCCGCAGGCCAACGCTCTGTCCACTGAGCCAAACCAGCCAGGGCTGATGTTCCCTTTTGGATTTTGCTCAATAAGTGTTGGTCAGGGATTGGGCAAATATGATTTTGACCTGGCTGCTCCTAGAAGAATTGAAAGTGATTGCAGTGGGGTTTCACTAGACCAGGGTCAAATCCACTTGTACTGCTACTCAGCTAATGTCATTCTATTTCATTGCTTCTATAGTTTATTCCCTTGTCAAATCCAGCTAAGCATCTCCCCATGGTTTGCAAGTAGCAGGGGACATAGCTTCTGAATCGAGTTTCAACCAGGCCTGTGTCATGGCAGCAAGAACAGACATGTCAAGATCCTGACTGGTCAGTCTTCATCAAGCTGTGTGAATGGTGTGAGGAAATCTCTGCTTTTCAGACCCACACTGAGGTTTCAATGAGGCAAGGCGTTTGTGTTGCGGGGGTGAATCATTCTCTGAGAAGAGAATGGTGTCATTGAGATTTTGTTTCAATAATTGCATTTTTCGCCAGAGAACTATTATCTCATTGTTAAGTTGTTATAAGTCAGGGTAGCTTTGGGGGATGCATATTAGAGTCTGCTGTACATTTTTTTTTTTGATATAATGACTTTTTAAAAAAATATGTATTTTTTAATTGATTTAAAGAGGAAAGGAGAGGGAGAGATAGAAACATCAATGATGAGAGAATCACTGATTGGCTGCCTCCTGCACGCCCCCTACTGGGAACTGAGCCCGAAACCCAGACATGTGCCCTTGACCGAATCGAACCTGAGACCCTTCAGTCCACAGGCCAGTGCTCTTATCCACTGAGCCAAACCGGCTTGTATTTTTTAATTGATTTAAAGAGGAAAGGAGAGGGAGAGATAGAAACATCAATGATGAGAGAATCACTGATTGGCTGCCTCCTGCACGCCCCCTACTGGGAACTGAGCCCGAAACCCAGACATGTGCCCTTGACCGAATCGAACCTGAGACCCTTTAGTCCACAGGCCAATGCTCTTATCCACTGAGCCAAACCGGCCAGGGCTGCTGTATGTGGTTTGTTTGTTTTTTAATCGCATAGCATGGATCTTTAGGAAGCTTTTCAAGAACCCTCACTGGCGCTCTAGCAGGTTTGGCTCACTGGAGAGAGCGTCAGCCTGTGAACTGAAGGGTCCCAGGTCCGCATTCCTGGTCAAGGGCACATGCTCAGGTTGAGGGCTCATCCCCACTAGGGGGGCGTGCAGGGGGCAGCCAATCAGTGATTCTCTCTCATCATTGATGTTTCTATCTCTCCCCTCCCTTCCTCTCTGAAATCAATAAAAATGTTTTTTTTTAAAAAGAACCCTCACTGGCACCAAAGCTTATCAGAGTTTGAATTTTGGGTGCATAGGATCCCACAGCATTTAAGTGCTCATGTTCAGCGTCATTTAGGTATGGATTCAAATCCCATCTCCGTTCCTTGCTGGGGGGACCTTGGCCGATTGCTTCCCCTCCCTAAGCCTCAGTTTCCATATCTCTAAAATGGGCTTAAAAGTCATACCTACCTGGATTTGTTGGAAGGTTTGGTGCACTTGAATTTGGCCTGGGTGCTTGACTGAACGCCTGACACCTGGTAAGCCTTCGATATCGTGAGTTTCCTCGCTGCCACATTTTACCTCTTGCCTGGATTCATTCGTTCAGTCTAGACCTGCACCATGAGAGGGCGATCACAATAATTTTAAAATTTGGAAACAATTTCCAGCGTGGAAAATCTTTTCCTGTCTTCCCATTCCCTTTCCAGTGCTTTCCTATGCCTGTCGGTATACTAGTATACCACATAGTTCTGATAGTGGGTAAGGCAGTTCCGTTCTGCTTTTCGTTTCTGCATCACTTCCTTCATATTTTCTGGACTGACAGAAAGGAAACCTTTTGCTTCCTCCACCCTTACCATCTTAAGAATGGAACAAGTCCCTCTGTGTGAGTTTCTCATTGTACTTCAGTTACAGCTGCTCTAGAGTACAAACTGGAAATCACCGAGTCCTGCTGCTGCTTTTTATAAATAAAGTTTTATTGGCATTCAGCCACCTCTCTTTGAGAATGTGTTGTCTATGGCTCCTTTGTCTGTTTTCCTGCTACAGTGGGAGAGTTGCTGATGGAGACCATCTGGCCCACAGAGCTGAAAATGCTGGGTATCTGGCCCATTTACAGGATAAATTTGCCAGCCCCTGAGCATGGGGATGATGGAGAATCTCAAGGTGCCCCTTTCCCCCAAAGCCACTCAGGTGGAATCATTTGTGTGCCTTCTGGTCTAGACTTTAATAAAGACATTTGCAAACATGTCTTTCAGACTTGCTGAAAATCGAGCCAGCCATTTTCAGGTGATGTGGTTAATAGACCAAAACCCGATTTCATGTCTCTCATTAGCTCAGCGCGAGGTCCCTCCTGGGCTCCTGTGATTCTTCTGATTAGCAGCTCAATGTGATAATGAGATTGGCTCTCCTCTGACGTGCTTAGATCTGAAAACCCAGAGACTCATTAGTGAAGCATTTTCTTTTCATTTCAACCGTTGCATTATTTCCTTCTTAACCAACTTTAAGTTTATGAAATATTGACAAACCTCCTGATGTTTTCCTGTGTTGATGAAAGACGTAAGCTGCTTGTGCATAAACCAGAAGCATGTTATTTTTTTTTTAATGTAAATTTGATTTGGGGGTTTGTTTTCACCATTCCCTTGACTTACTTTCATTATAATGCAGAGGAAAGCACTGATCCACTTTCAGCCCCCTCTGGCACGTGAGCATCCCTGAAGTAAGAGTTTGGTTCTGGCAAGTGTTCCTGGATGAGAAATCAAGCAAAAGGGTCTGTAGCAAATCAGAAATTCAAAGTCCATGTTTTTCAACAAAAGAATGGCAAGAATCAGTTCAGTGTGTGGCTCATGGCTTGCTTTATTTTTATTTTATTTCTTCCATCACCATTTTCCCCTCCTGTGCCCTCTTCCACCTCCACCTACGTGGTAATCAGTTCAGTGTGTGGCTCATGGCTTGCTTTATTTTATTTCTTCCATCACCATTTTCCCCTCCCGTGCCCTCTTCCACCTCCACCTACGTGGCTTTCTTTTTGTTTTGACTTATACCAGATGCCAGCAAACTGCTGCCCAGGTCTGGCCCGCTACCTACCTTTTCACGGCCCACAAGAGAGGATGGTTTTTACTTTTGTAAATGGTTGGAGGGGAAATTAAAATGAAAGGAAATTCAAGTTTCTTTGTTCAAAATAAAGTTTTATTGGAATGCTGTCACGCCCAATCATTAATGTATCATCAATGGCTGTCTCTCATCATTGATGTTTCTATCTCTCCCCTCCCTTCCTCTCTGAAATCAATAAAAATGTTTTTTTTTAAAAAGAACCCTCACTGGCACCAAAGCTTATCAGAGTTTGAATTTTGGGTGCATAGGATCCCACAGCATTTAAGTGCTCATGTTCAGCGTCATTTAGGTATGGATTCAAATCCCATCTCCGTTCCTTGCTGGGGGGACCTTGGCCGATTGCTTCCCCTCCCTAAGCCTCAGTTTCCATATCTCTAAAATGGGCTTAAAAGTCATACCTACCTGGATTTGTTGGAAGGTTTGGTGCACTTGAATTTGGCCTGGGTGCTTGACTGAACGCCTGACACCTGGTAAGCCTTCGATATCGTGAGTTTCCTCGCTGCCACATTTTACCTCTTGTCTGGATTCATTCGTTCAGTCTAGACCTGCACCATGAGAGGGCGATCACAATAATTTTAAAATTTGGAAACAATTTCCAGCGTGGAAAATCTTTTCCTGTCTTCCCATTCCCTTTCCAGTGCTTTCCTATGCCTGTCGGTATACTAGTATACCACATAGTTCTGATAGTGGGTAAGGCAGTTCCGTTCTGCTTTTCGTTTCTGCATCACTTCCTTCATATTTTCTGGACTGACAGAAAGGAAACCTTTTGCTTCCTCCACCCTTACCATCTTAAGAATGGAACAAGTCCCTCTGTGTGAGTTTCTCATTGTACTTCAGTTATAGCTGCTCTAGAGTACAAACTGGAAATCACCGAGTCCTGCTGCTGCTTTTTATAAATAAAGTTTTATTGGCATTCAGCCACCCCTCTTTGAGAATGTGTTGTCTATGGCTCCTTTGTCTGTTTTCCTGCTACAGTGGGACAGTTGCTGATGGAGACCATCTGGCCCACAGAGCTGAAAATGCTGGGTATCTGGCCCATTTACAGGATAAATTTGCCAGCCCCTGAGCATGGGGATGATGGAGAATCTCAAGGTGCCCCTTTCCCCCAAAGCCACTCAGGTGGAATCATTTGTGTGCCTTCTGGTCTAGACTTTAATAAAGACATTTGCAAACATGTCTTTCAGACTTGCTGAAAATCGAGCCAGCCATTTTCAGGTGATGTGGTTAATAGACCAAAACCCGATTTCATGTCTCTCATTAGCTCAGCGCGAGGTCCCTCCTGGGCTCCTGTGATTCTTCTGATTAGCAGCTCAATGTGATAATGAGATTGGCTCTCCTCTGACGTGCTTAGATCTGAAAACCCAGAGACTCATTAGTGAAGCATTTTCTTTTCATTTCAACCGTTGCATTATTTCCTTCTTAACCAACTTTAAGTTTATGAAATATTGACAAACCTCCTGATGTTTTCCTGTGTTGATGAAAGACGTAAGCTGCTTGTGCATAAACCAGAAGCATGTTATTTTTTTTTTAATGTAAATTTGATTTGGGGGTTTGTTTTCACCATTCCCTTGACTTACTTTCATTATAATGCAGAG